GATTGGCTGAGCACAGTCACATGACCCAGCCAGCCAATGATGTTCCAGCACAGCCCCTGAGGGGCCGCAATGGCGGCCGTGCCCTCACTGCCTTTGTGGCTTTGCGTGAGGAGAACGAAACCCCAAAGCTGTCAAAAATCACATTTATTTTGTACCATTAAACTGGCATGTTTTAACTCTTACTGATAAAAAAAGAGTCTGCTCACCTTAACAAGGAACAACGCACAAATATAATTAATTTGTGTCTGAATTGACCCGTCAAGATCACTCACAAAGCCATTAATGTTTCAGTCCAAGTTTTATTTTGGCATTGAGGCTTGCTTAAAAAATGAGAGAGGTTTTATCCCTCAGTCTGTACAGCATGGAAATAAAAACAGAACTATTTAAGATGATTTTACAAGATGAGACACCACAAGTGAGGCACTTGGAGAATTTACAGTAACAGAGCAGGCCAAGCCTATGCTCCTCACATTTAAATTAAATAAATACAGCAGGCAAAGCACATTTGCCATCCTGTCATTTAAAATAAAAACAACACACTTCTGATTATTTTTCATTAATTTTCATTCAGTCAAGTCCATAATCCTTTGACATTTAAGGACTGTCTGTATTATTCTTTTTTAAAAGACAATTAGGCTGATCCAAAGCATGCTTTTTAAAAAAGACAGTTTTCAGAATTTGAGAGTGAACCCAGGATTTCACATGGCAATTTATTTACAGCAATTCAGCACCACCTGCTGGCATGACTTCTTTTTTAAAGTACCTTAAAAGATGTGGTGGTTTGTTTGTTTAATTGGCATCATTTTTTAAGTGTCTAATTTTAAACACTCAGATATTTTTTCCCCACATTACATCTGAGCCACTGCAGCTATTTTGGATTTATGTAATCTGGAGGAGGGATGTTCAGCTCAGAATTAGAACATGAAATATGCAAATGAAATCAATCTAGATGAACATTATCTCCTGCCAGGCTGCAAAATGGGAGTATTTTAGTTATCAGCTCCACAAATTTCTGTATTTTATACAGCTCCTAGCACATCTACCAGCATTCCTGGGACTCCTCCAACCTGTAAAACCTCTCCTTCTCCACCCCCCCAAACCTCAAATAATTCTTATTTTTCTGTCTCAGTGAAAACACTCTGACATTCCCTGCAATTACTCCCTTCAATTTCTGATTTAACTGGCCAATTCCTGAGTTTTTTCCACAGGGATTACAGTTTTAGGGGGTTTTTGCCAGCTGATGACCAATATCCACTCAACCACAATTTTCTTCCTTTAAATATCAATGATGACAAAGACTTCTGGCTTTTCATCCTCACAGATCTGCATTGCTGAGTAAGTGATGGCTTTGACCTCTGTGCCCTAGAAAAGAGACACAAAATATAATTTAGAAATGAATTTTATCCCTTTTACCAGCTCAGAACCCCCAGTTCTCATGCTATCAATCTATTTTTCCCCCAAAAAAGCTATAAATATATTTGTTCTGATGAATAAGGAAGTTGCCACACTAATGGCCAGGTCAAATAGTGAAAAGGGAACTCTTCCCTTATTTTATTGCCTCTTAATACCACAAATTCCTTCTTTTACCTCTGACAGACCATCAACATTTGCTCTGCTAAAAATGACCCAGAGCAAGACATCAGATTTTGCTACCAACAATTCTTTAGGGAAGAAAAAAGCAAAACCTGACTAAGCAGAAATCTGCACCAATAAATTGTGAATATAAATTGATTTTCTGTGTAATCAACATCACAAAAAGGAAGCCAATTGGGTTAATTTGTTGAGTTTTGAGGAAATGTCATGTTTGGTGAAACTGAGCCATGCAGGAAGTGAGACCTTGAGTTCAGCCACGTTTTTATTTTAATCTGTGCAGAATTCAGATTCTGATTTCAAGGACACCACACCTCCTCCCTCTAAAATGGAAAAAGAAGAATCACTTCTTACCTGTGGGTGTTTGTCTAAAGAGAACTCCTCTCCCCACCTGTAAAGGCAAAAATTACAAGAGAGGTTTTGTAATTTTTGGTAATATTTACCAAATGCTATAATTAGTTTCAGTGATGAGCACAGAAGAGTGAGATTTTCATTTGAAGCCTCAAAGGCAGCAAGAAAAGCCCACAATCCATTTCCAGCCAAGGGTTTCAGCTCACCCAATTGATCTTATTTTGAATTGGCTTCGGTCAATGTGAAGCACTTTCACTTCCTGCAGAGAGTGGGAGAAGTGTGTCAGCCCCACCTTCCACCTTCAGGCAGAAATTCCCACTAAATCCCACTTCCAAAAGCAATATCCCACTTCCAAAAGCAATTTCCCACTTCCAAAAGCAATTTCCCACTGTTTAATCCCCTTCCACCAGCCCAGCTTGCCCCAAGCCCCATCCAGCCTGGCCTTGTATTTTTTGTGTTCCTTTTTCCCCTAAAATCCCACTGCAAAAAGCTGAATCCAGAGCACTCACCCTGGGTATAAAAAACTCATCAGCACTGAATTTATACAGCCACTCATCCAGGAAGTGGAAGAGAAGAGACAACAGGTCATGCCCTGTGTGAAGCAGAGATTGTCTCAGCAAAAAAAAACCATTTTTAAAGCACCTGAGATGTTCAGGAGATTCTGATAAACGATGCTTAATTATATTTTAATGAATTGGACTAAGGCTATGTGTAAAGATTGAGATTTTTGGTGCTTTTCTCCCTTTTTTAGCTGTCCACAAAAGAAGTGCAGACCTCACCTTCTGCCTCTACCTCCACTGTATCCACAGGTTCCACAGTGCCTGTGTCTGTCATGTAGCCAAACATGGCCATGGCACACTGCTCAAAGGCTTCTTCCAACGTGTCCCCCCAGGCATGGAGCCTAAAA